CTAACAAGTTAACTTTGCCACCATAAAATCTAAGGAATTTAAGGTTACGCATTCCTTCAAAAGCTCGCTTACTTATAATGAACTTGCCAATCTTGTACATATCAAATGATATACCTATAACAGATCCAGTACCCTACCAAATATTGAACAAGAAGACTCATGAAATTGTTATCACAAAATATAGGAATTTTTTTAGAGAATGTATATGTAAAAACTTACTGTTTCATTTTCGAGTACATCACGGATCTCTTCGACTTCTACTAAAAACTGACGCTTTCCGGGCTCCATAGACTGTTCATTGACTATCTGTCTCCCCAATTGTTGTAGTAAATAGTGCATCCCTATATGTCTATGAGTAGATATATGAACAAGAGACTTATCAGTTAAGGTCTTCAACCCATTTCCAACATCCAAGTTACTGTGAGCCAGCATGGTTGTCACATGATCAACATTTTCCTGGTTGAAGAAGCATGCAATGTGAAGGAACAGAGATTGCTCTTTATCAGACAATCTGTCATATCCCACTTTTAATACGTCCTCAATTTTTCTATCAAGACTAGTTTCGATCTTAGATAATTGAAGTTCCCACTCGTTCTTGCTCTTCCCACGCAAAGATGAACCCACAACACAAAGGCCTAATGGAAGATAACCGCAAAGCTTTGCTACTTTACCTGTAAGCTCTTCAAAACCAACTTGTGCAGAACTTTGTTTGAAAGCAGATAGACAAAAAATCTCAAGAGCTTCTTCTTCTGATGGAAAATCCACATGGTAGATATCATTTATCTGATCTGGCTTCAAAATCTTTTTATCTTTTGTGATAACGATGATCCGACTTCCGTAACCAAACCAAGCAGTTTCCTTAGCCAATACTTCTAGTTGCTCTAGATCATCTACATCATCAAGAATGATAAGTACTCTTTGATCATGAAGCCATTCTTTTATTGAACCTAAATGATGTACCCTCATATCCCTCTGGTTCAAAATCTTCGACAGAAGTTGGCTTTGTAAACACAACTTGGAATCATAGTCATCAACACCCACTATACTCTTATTACTTCCCCTGAGGTTCCCCATGAAACAGCTAAGTCGAAAATTGCTAGAGAGCTGGTTGAATAAAGCTCTAGCAATGGTAGTCTTACCAATTCCCGCAGGACCCCAAATGCCAATCATCTTCACATCATCACTCTCTAGGCATAACAAAGTGTTCACTTTTCTCAAGTGAGCTTGTAGTCCAACCATGCCGTCAAAATCCCTTGACAGTGTAACATTCAGCTTGTTCGAAACATCCGTGGCAAACTTTTCGGCCATCGCTGCTTCATCATCCCTAACAAACAAAAAACAACAAAATCTTATTGAATCATCAATTTAAAAAGATAAAAGCATTGAGCTCAAAAGAAAAAACAAACCAGTTAAGAGAGTGTTCTCCAGCTATGGTTGCTACATATGCTAAAGCATTGCTCCATCTCTGCTTCTCTTCCTCAGTTTTCCCTTGACAAGTTTTCTCAAAAGCATTTCCAAAGTCTCCTCTCTGTTTCCGCACATCAGAAGGATCAACATCGTAGAAAATAGTCATCACAATCTGCCCTGAAGCTTCTTGGCATTTCAAGATTTCAACCAATTCATCTAAACACCAACTCGAAGATGTGTAATTCTTCGAGAGTAAAACGACCGAGACTCTCGATTCTCTAATCGCTTGTACAAGTTCAGATCCAATCGTATGACCTCTTTCGATCTCTTGATCCTTGAAAGTCGTGATCCCTTTCCTTGCAAAGATATTGTGTAAATGACTGAGAAATCCTCTACGAACATCTGGCCCATGGAAACTCGGGAACACATGGTATCTCTTGATGTGAGACGAAGAAGAAGCCATGAGAGATATTTCAGAGAGTCCAAATGATTTTGGGGGAAATGGGTGTTCTAAGAGATGATAAACTTCAAAGAGATGTAAATTCTAATTGGTTGACTTTTTAAATTCATTGTATGATGACGATCATTGTATAGGAAACTTCCTCATAGTCATCACGTAAAGGACACATTCAAATCAATAAAGCAACGATACTGAAAGGATGATATACATATATTTATGTATTTTCCTCTTAGAAAAGCAACCTATATGGTTGGTTAGTATATAAAATGGTAAATCTTGCAAATAGGTTTTGTAAATAATTATTGATTCAACCTGACTTGGTCTTTGCATTTTAGTAAACCAAATAATTAATCAGAATGTCTGTTTCTTCTTGGCAAATGCATCAGTATTCTTAATGAAGACAACCGTCCAAACAGTAAGAAAGGTAGGTACACTACTAACCTTGATTATCCACATCTAGATTGCATTGAAACTCCGTCCGAGGTGCGTTTCCCGTTTCGGAAACCGAAACTCTTGGAAACTCCATGGAAACGCTTTTCCTAAAAAAATTAATTTGGAAACGTATTTCCTAAAATATTTTAATTTGAAAACTCAATGGAAACTTTAATTCCGTTTTAAAAACGTGACGGAAACTCGTTTCCTAGAAATTTCAAATTGGAAACACAACGGAAATGTTCGATTTTGTTTTGGAAATGCAATGAAAAATTGTTTCTTGCGTAATAATTAAATAGTTTGGAAATGTAAGCATGTATTTAAAATACTTTATAGATTAAAAACAACAAAATTATGAAAAATTGCGTTTGGTATAGAGGTAAAAAACAACAAAATTATTATACTTTTTGCTTTTGTTAGGCTATTTAATATATATATATAATTTGTGTTGTTCAAATTGTTTTAAATCTTGTTTTTGATGTTGTTGATTC